AGGGCTAGCCACTATGTGTGACGGCTGCCTACATTCAAGGAGAGCAATGAATTTCTTACTATGTAGCAGCCATACACTTGAAGCTGCTACGCAGGCAATACACAAAACCTACTGCCCCTAAGCTACGGAAACAAGTAAAGTCACGAAGCTTCAAACTTACCAAATCGTCGATACTGTCCTCCTTCTGGTATCTAGCGTAATCCTTTCGAAGTGTTCTAACGAGAATCATCCAAACTAGCCCAACAAGGAAGACAACCATCATGAAGCTGTTGAAAATCGAGAACCAGTGGATCTGCAGAAATTGTTGATATGCGAGAGCCCAACAAATAATCATAAACTTCAACTTCTGATTAGCTTAAACCTTTTTCCTTGAATACAGATTTCTGACTTCTCTAACTAAGCTTTTTTACTAATTCCAGTTACTGAAGACAAGCCGTTTCTCTTCTTTGTTATATTATAAGAATGCCACAATGATGCACTTTAGAAGGTAACAGGTCATACCCTATGTTGGAAGAAACTCGGATCGAGATACTTGTCGAACCTGTCAGCAAATGGAACTGGCGAAGCAACCCATTTAACCTGAAAGTTAACACCTTTATGATGTAGAAAAAAGTATGAATAATCGCTTCTGAGAATGAACCCCTCGAAACTTTCCCTCGGGCCTTAGCGGTAATGAAGGAACCTTTCAAACACTGAAAAAAAAACTGAGAAAAATTGTAAGCTTACCTCATAAGTGAATTCCAACTCGACCCCTGGATGAATGGCCACATGACCGCCTGATGTGAGATTGACATCCACTACCTATAAATGAGCAGTGTTCAAACCACAACAACAAAAATGGTGCAGAGTTGGAAAAGTAACAATGATAACTAAACGTCAAATGTGAAGCAATCTATTCTAGAAAAGGGCGCTATTGCACAATTACAACCCCAGTGGTGAAAGAAGTCAGGGAATTTTTCGCTGAAACTCCTCCTGTGAGGATTATCGAGGTCCTGATCACGAATATGAGGTCCATTTTTGGCGCTGGCGCCAAATGCGCCTGACTGAATTTCACCAAATTCGCTGTAAACTTGTATATAGGGGTTATTTGAGGCCCTGATTACGAATATGACATTGGTTTTGTCGCTCGCGCTGTTTTAACACATAATTCAGCCTTTATGAGCCCCCTCACTTGAAGCGCCCACGACTAAGTGTAGAGAAAGGGAGTGATTGCGGTGTAGTCGGTAAACTAGGCACCGTGTGCCAAAAGTAAGTATTGGCGAAAGAGCGAGTTTGCTCCATTACTCACTTTGTAAGCCCCACGCTTCCGATATGCTTAGTCCTGCTGCTATCGCCATTAGGAGATGCGCGATCAGAAATAGCCCAAACAGCGCAACGACAAAAAGGAAATTTCTTAATTTAATATTTAGAAAAAAATTAGGCACCAAATTAAGCTCTTAGTTATACGAAGCTGCATATAAATTCAGTTATAGCATTCAGTGCGTTTGGCGTCTCCAGGGGTGATCAGGATCTGACGATCGTATCACCCCCATGGAAAAGTTTTTAGTGCATAGTAAAATACCGATCTCATCTGATTACTGGGTTGTAAGTTAGGCATACAATGCCCTTAAAAAGTATTAGTAAATACAGGACGTAATTTACTTTGCTGTCGCTTTGTATTAATTATTCGAATATGTTCAATGCTGGTTTATGGATACTAGTTTTAATAGTATCCGTCGCGAGACTCTTTCCGGAGTCTCGTCGACCGTCACGACTATGTTCCTGCATGAATCGTATTGCTAGAAGGATGAAAAGATGCGTGCTCTTAACTGTAACGATTTTCTCTTATTTACTGTTTCCCATTCTTATCAAATCTCTCTAACCTAAATTCGATTAGAACTTTTTATATCGATATACATTCTGTGGTGGTGGCAACTTGAGTTCAGAGGGAGAAGGGAGGTGATCGTTAAGCGAATCAGTGGTTCTATACTCCGAAACGAATATGATTTCAAATGCTGACTCCAGAGAAGAAACGGAAAACTCTGTTGTCTGAAGAAGATCTGTATTCCGCCCGGGATAGCCGTAAGCGGCACGCGATTAGCAGCGCCCTTTCGGTACTCCTGGAACGAAAAACTACAAGATTCCCCACCTCAAAAAGTGATACAGATTTCTTTGAATTTTTGTGGGCCCTGTTCAAATCAATCATATTCCTGAGAGCGCCGTTTAAGGAAGGCTACTGGAAATGGCCCAACTAATGAGAAAATATTAGTAAAAGAATCCAAAAAGAAAACCAACAGACTTACCCCAAATAGGCATATCATCGAGGTACATCTGATAGAAGTAGCTGTTCTTGATGGCATACACGAAGGTTTGGTAAGCCTCGTTTGTAAGCTTCATTTTGCAGAAAACCGTCTTCTTTGTGTTCGCTGAAAACAAATGCAAATTTTAAACCAATGCACAACGTCGAAGCCAGCGGTCACGATAATTTGGTGCAGATGAAAGGTAAGAGTGAAGCTATAAATGTTGCCTCAAAGAAGAAGAGAGCAAGAAGAACCATTATAAATATGAGAAACGCGTCTCTTATTCAGTTCGCTATCCTGGACGGTGGACAGGCATATGAACTAATATAGAGGTTTTTGGTGGAAGTTACCCCGATGAAAAATATGACACGACAGGTTCAAATAAGTCCGCATCAGGGGCTGTAAGGTATGCTTCCCCGAATGGTTGGGGGACGAAAATCCCTTTAAATTTTTTTGTTTTGAACGATACTGTTTCTTCATTTTCAGTGCATGTTTACTTTAACCTACACACATACTTCAAACAGCCAGAACGTTCTTTAGCACCCTCACTCACTTCTAGCCCTAAAGGGAGTAATATTATAGTGGAATGGGTCGTTCTCTGTTGCCACACTACCCATGTATATTAATACGACCACCGCCTTTATAGTAAAAGGTTGGAGGCTTAAATAGTACACCAGAAAAATAGCAATAAGAAAACTAAAGACAAAAAAGAAAAACCTACTTCTAAATTTAATATCCAAGCCAGAGAAGTCAAGCTCAACTCCAAGAAGAGACTCCCCCATTGTCTCGTGGTAGTGACTAATGGATTGTTTGGGACCTCGACAAAATGGTAAGGAGAAGTACGCATAAGTCTCTTGCCGATTACTGTATGGTCCAACCTGTAATATTTTCAATTACAGAATTGAAATAGGAAATAAATAGGAATGGTATTGACCGATACTGCTTCGGGAATGGCCTCAGAGATGATAAAGCTTAAGCCTGCACTTTCTGCCTCTGACTTGTTTCTCTCGACGAATAAGCACAAATCTACACAGTGCACGCGAATACAAAGTGATTTTTGGGGGAAATATGGAAAATGAAGTTGCTCAAAATTGCAGAGAACTCATAAAACGCTTTCAAACAGCATTACATCATCAAACCGAGGATATCACCAGTCTCTACTGGCAGAATTTATTGAGCTGAAAAGCTGCTATAACTCACACGTAATCATCGCAAAAAATTATAGGATTCAGACGGTATTGATCCATTATTGAATATGCAATATTACTAGGAGCATGTGTAAGTCCGCTCAGATGGATGGAATTGCGCAAAAAAAACAACAATAATGCGAACTAATCATGTAGGCGTACAGTAATGTAGTTGTAAGTACATCGCCACTACATTACGACTCGCCCGCATTTTGGTCCCGCGTTTATGCAAGGAAAAATGGCAAAGATGATTCTGTCATGCTAGTAACAGGCACAGAATGTTGGATTTAAACACTTCGTTCGTAGTAGACAAAAACTGGCTCTTCGCTGATGAGGTTATCAATTTGTGAGAAACAGTAATGCCGACACTTCAGTGAAAGAGGTTTGTTTGCACGACTGACAAAAAAGCAGTCATTCAAGGGAAATAACGAATAATAGAATGTAAGCACCCAAGCAATTCTTGCATCCTGGAATACCTTTTTTTGCAGAATTTAGCAATTTCAGACCGATTTACTGCGGTTTACCTGCGAATGCTTCAAAAAACCTGCACCTAAATAATATTGCAGACATGTTCAAAATCAACAGTCTGCCCTCAAGGGACATTCCATTTACGAGGTAAGCAAACCAGCCCTTTTGGCGTTTCGGCTGGGACCGTATGCTGAATGTTGGGGAGGGGATGGGGTCCCCAACGGTCGACGGTTTACTTCAACTCGGTTGGTACGATAGGAGAGTACTGACGCAAGTGGTGCAGCTGGTCCAGCAGCTCCGCCAGAAGGGCTGGTTTGCTCACCCCAGGACTAAGCCTTGGAGAGGGGACGGACCCGTCCTCTCTTTAAGGCTTAGTTCTGAGGTAAGCACCAAATTGTGGCGGTTCTAAGGACCGAGTTGAAGTGGTCCGTCCACCGTCGGGACTCCATCCCCTCCCCAACATTCAGCATACGGTCCCAGCCGAAGCGCCAAAAGGGCTGGTTTGCTTACGTCTCTTGGACAGTAGTCGTTGGCAGCGAAAGAACACTGCGTGAACTATGCGTAGAATTGTTACAGACTTCATGCTGAATGAAGCACCAACATTCTAATGTCTTACACCCTGACATCCTTCAAAAACGAGATCCAGGTGACGTTCTTAAGTAGCAATTCCACGCCATTCATGTTTTACATTCGATCTGCACCTTGCAAATACAGCAAATGCATTTCACCAGAGTGGTTAAGAACTGTCTCGACGATAACTCAACTTGATGATAACAGGTGGCGAATGGCTGATGTGCGAACACTGTGTCAATGAATGGGATGTAATGTTTACTTTTTCCAACAATTATGTAAACAGATTGTTGGCAAATAAATTCCTTAACTGAACTAACCATGCAGTCTTCGAATGAGAAAAAAGACTCGAATTCAAAAGTGCAAAAAAGATGGGCCATGCGTTAACTGAAGACGGCAGTGACCTACGAACCATGCAGCCAGGCATCAAGTGATGAATGTCATAGGAGGCTAAAAGAGATTGTCATAAACTACCAATTAATCTTCCCTCGAATCTTTATATGTTTCCATGAGAAAGGAGCAAGATATGCTAAGCTGCTGATGCCACTGATCAACAGCGTTTTCGGAATTGCAAATAGGAACGCATTTTCATATTTTTTCACCAAACAGAAATTCTAAAATTTTTCCAAAAAGCAGGCGAATATAATGAGATCTCTTCTGGTTAAGACGGTTTTGTATACGCAGTTTGATTAGAGACATTTACGCCTGGAAACATTTGCTATTGATAGAAGTTTCGATTAAAAAAATTCGAACGACACGGCTAAACTCTAACTTCGACCGATAATTCATCCAAACACGACTTCTCCTCATCAATTTATTACATGTCGGTCGTGTTCATCAGCTTCGACGAGGTAGGAAATCAAGAGCAATAACCCGATTAAGAACCGACCCCGCATCTTCTGAAAAGAAATTATGAGCGCAGCTTCGTGAAAAGAACAATAGCATATTGAAGCGATGCAAATGAATACATTAACATGATCTTTTCACTCTTCACAATTGCGAAGAAAATCATGGACGAAGAAGACCCAGACGAAGGGCGCTTTCCCAAAATTGATGAAAGGAAATCCAAACAGAGTATAGAAGGAACGGCTTTCCAAAGGGAACTTCACAATGCAGCATTTATGCTGAGCCCCGATAAAAATGAAGTTTTTCACGAGGTGTAAAAGCCGAAACAAACACCACAAACGAGACATTGGTGGTTTTCTCTGTATTAAGGAGTGAATTAGATGGTATTGGCCAGGGAACATGTGGGCGATAGACAAACCATTACGTGGTGAACGTACGCCGTGAAACATACGTGGCTTCAACGATGAGAACTCGGCCGCGGCGCCGCGCGTCGCAAAGCGGCAGCCGCTAGATTTGCGCGTGTACGTGCGGCACCGTTCGAAATTGAGCGAACGCAGAATCGTCTAAATGGATCAGGGGCGGGGGGCGGGGGCGGAATTAGCTAACAAGGGCAGGTATGTTGATTAGTGCTTTATTGTATGGGAACGAACCGCGGCGAAAACTCGGGTTCGGAGGGGGGAGCACAGCAGAATGTGACTCGCGACCGCGTTATGGTTTCGTCTGCTCCTCCAGGGCTTAGTCCACAGGGCAGTTATCCTTCGCCATTATGGCGGCGCGGCATTCTGCTCGCCTGGCATGTTCGGAAATCCGTGGGCCAGGGGGAGTGTAGCCAGCCTAGGGGGTGGGGGGTGGGGGCAGTCACTTGACATGCGTGAAAAGCTGGAATGTTCGAGTTTACACTGTCTCGCTCGAGAGAGCCCAGGTGAGCAGACTGCCGCGCCGCCGCGCCCCCCCCCCCCCCAACTAAGTTAGCACCAGCTTCCAAAATATGCGCCATTGCGTGAGGGCGCACGCATAGTCGGTCGGACGACAGCAACGATCGTAACTGTCGCACAGCATTGGATGCGTATCGATCGTCGGACTTGCCTGAGTATTCGACGATTAGATGCAGTTAGACAGTCAGACAGTTGCGATCGTTGCTGTCGGACCGACCATCGTTGTTGTCGGACGACCGACTATGCGTGCGCCCTGACTAAGCCGCCTTCCCGTTCTTCCTTTTCTAATGCGGCTAGACTGTTCCATTTATGTGCCCAAAGAGAGAAGGAGCTGACCATATTATATAATACATAGTTCGAATTCCGATCAGTTTTCACTAGTGGTTCATGCGTTCATCATCTGACTTCGGCTCCCGGACAATACCCTCTCCTTCAAATGACCAGAAATTGTGCAATTGCAGAAATTCACGTGGCATTAAACAGCACTTAACGTGGCATATCAATTCAACCGCATACGCCCATCGATTGGTGCCAGCGAATCGCTATGAAAAACAGTACTCGAGAGTGCTCAGGAGGGTGACAGGCACTACTCGGCACACCGCGGTTCCTATATTACAACTTGCCTCTATCATTCCCAGCATTTCGGCTGTGGCCATCATCTCAGCTTATTCACTCGATAGCCATATGTGATCACACAATTCAAACTGGTTTTGCCACACTGTAGTTGGCTCCCCCACCTCGAAGTCCCTCCCTCCTACAAGGCTTAGTCCTAGAGCTCTCACTTCCCTCCCTGGGATTTGGAGCCGAGCCAGGCGCCGTTCTTCTAACTGTCTGTGCCCTCCGCCATTCGTGGCAGGACCATAGAAGAAAGTTCAAGTAGTCCGTAAACCGCTCGCGAACTGTGCTGTGCTGAGTTCGCGGGCACCAATCAACTCGGCCGCGCGCCCAAATGGTTAGGTATTGTCTGGGAGCCTCTGACTTCACCTAGCTGCTGTGTACAAAAACGCCCTACGACGCTCCAAACAACGAAGCACTTAGCCGCGGCCCTCGCAATATTTGAACACCTGCGGTGGGTGTGCACGGATGCATGGAGCGTGTGGTGATCCAAATCCTGAACCCTTAGTGTCCTAGTTATGCGTTTTGTGCCAGCGCCACTTTTTGTACACTTTTCTGGGTGAACTGGACCCACCGATTGCTGGCACAAAGGCAATAATTCGGAAAACTCGTCCGAACACGCCTTCTTCCCATCCCACGTTGGGGTGTTCATATGAGAGAAGGAAGCCATGGATACACATGAAGAGGGTTAATTTGAAGATCTTCGGGAAGGATCAAGTCAATCGCTTTGTGTCCCATCTTTGCCACCAAATTGAAGCCTCTTCCAAAATAAGAGCTGTGAACGTTGCTCAATGTACCTACTTCTTACTGTAGCTCAGTAGATTCAATCAATCTGGAGAGAAGCCAAGCGTACACCAAGAAAGCAATGCAGCAAACTAGAGCAGGCAGAAGCCGAGGAGGAGGAAACTAACCGGTTCCATCACTGTAAATGTGACCAAGAAGTAAAGTAGCTGCGATTACGAAGACTTATCAAAACTATCGTGGAGTTCCAGATTTGTACCCCAAAAGGCTTTTCTATGGTGTGCTATTTTTTTTTCATTTATCATAGCACAGCGTTCTCCCAAAATGAAATTGTTATGTAGCTCATCAATCTCACGTATTGCGGCTTGAACAATTCCCCGGACATTCAGCGGTCAATTATGGCCTTCAAAAGAATGGACAATAGGATGCAGCTACCCCATGTATAATGTAGCACCATGTGGGGATTGACCCGTAAACCTCGACCCCGGACCTTCGAGAGGCGAGATAGACTGTGTTATGAGGAGTGCGCCAGACTAGCCGATGAGCGCCGTGGCGGAGCGGGCCCACAGCGTCGCTCAAGCGCAGATTACTGCTGCCTCATCCCTAGGAAACGACTGCGCAGTCGGGCACAGCGTTTGAAAAACTCTGCTTCCGATCGTTTAATTGCTTGGTTTTTCATACCGGGTATCCTCATAGGTTCGTTTCTTGTTTCCAAGTAACGATGAGATTGTGAAGCTGCGTTGGATTAAATGAGAGGCCTCGGGAGCTCGAGATATTGTCTTGTGTGGCATTTGTCATTTGGTTCTGTTTTTTCTGTAACCATTTATTTATTAGGTCCTGTAACAAAATATTTGCAATCTCTTAACTCCGCATAGTTATATCTTATGTTCTGAATCTTCACTCGATTATTCGTTCGGAAAATCATCTGCTTGGTTTCGCTTTCATTTATCTTATTCGCAATCCCTTTTCCTTTTCCGAAAGTTCCTTTGGGTATTTCCCTTCCCTTCCGAGAATGTGTTCGTTGCTAGTCCACTTTTAATTTATTTTTCCCCGGTCAATAATCTATTTTTTACTCCTGTTTCCTTTTTACATTTTCCTTCTTCATTCTATTGTTACATTCAAATTCTCCGCAAGGTGCTATACAAGTGGGTGGAGGCACGCCGCATTTTTTAACAGGAATGTGATAATTCGAGGATTTAGCACGCTACGCTACTATATGGTCAGAGAGAGTCGGGACGAATTCGTGAGCAGGGGAGTGTAACCAATGTAGGGGGCGGCGAGGGGGTTTGATGAGGGCAGCCACTTGCAAATGCGTGAGAAGCTGGGTGTGCTAGAGCCGAACTACCTCCTGTCTTGCTAATCATGAAAAAGGTTCATTTTATGGAAACATTAGTTACTATGCTTTTAACTTTTCCATGGCGCTTCTCTTCTTTACTCTCTAAACACTAGATCCGCCTTCGAAAAGGTTGTGAAAGTAGTTTGCTTTCTCCCATATTGAAAACCTGAGACAATTTTCGAAGCGGAATGGTTATGATCTCATTCCTATTTACCCCACCAAAGCGAGCTATTAGGCGAGCCATTGTTCCATTTTGTTTTACATGTCTAAATCGATTTTATGTGTGTATCCGCCTATGAGACTCAAAAGATTTCCTGGAACACCTCTCTCCCATTGCTATTTTTTTTATCTTTTTTTTTTTTTTTTGGAGCTTCTTCTTTTATTCATCTGAATTTTCAGTTCCACTTCATTTTCTCTTTTTCATGCACCCTTCGATGATTCAGGATAATTCACCATAGCAGTAGTTGGCCCCTTTTCTGATAATGTGGGGCATAATCTAGTCTTTAAACTTAGAGCTACTGCAGAACTTGTTGGAAACGGTTGTGTAGAATATCGCAAGAAAATAGTACCCGTTGCGATAAGAAGACTTTCTTGAGAGCATTCATATTGAAAGTAGATGGCCATCATTGGTGCTAACGTACAGCCAGCTGGTGCTCACTATTTTCAACTAAGGCATGCCCCAGGATCACATTGGTGTGGCTCTTGCACACGAATGCGAATGTATCGGTGCCAAGTGGGCCGGCAGTGAAGAAAAAAGGAAAAGAATCCGTCGAAAACGCTCAGGTTAAGGGCTCACTCACCTTCCTAATCGGCTGTGCTAAGGGAATGAGAGACTAAGCGCGGAGAGGAGAGTATGAAGCGAAAAAGCGCTGCATCAAGAGCTCTTGTCGGTTGGTTTCCGTGCACGGGAACGCTACATTTGTGATTGTTCTCTAGGGGTCTATACTACAAACTGAAAGTGAGCATTTACACGACCTCTGCCTGGGTTGTGCCCTTAACTGCGTATACGTCCCTTTTGGGTACTTTAAAGTGAAAGTCTTATACTTCTTCTTGATATGGAATAACTTGCATGAATTGGCCTGTCGTTAACCATCGCATCTATCGAGGGCTACCACTCATTTCGCATTTACCACTGATAGAACCCAAGCTTGGTAGCTTTTTTTGTGCGTGGCCGTTGTGGGGAAATGCCGGGAGCGCTGGCAGTCGTCCTGGTGTGTTCTCTTGGCGTCCCGTGGGATGCACCCAGCAAGGGCTGCAGGAGACATTCTGTTTAATGCGGCTATAGATCGACATTGTGACATTCGCTTTCGGGACCTTCAGACATTGAGCGTCCTATGTAAGATTTGTTTTTGCTGCTGGCTTCTCCTTTTCCACGTGCTTTCTCGTTCTCCACTCGAAAATTTATCTTCAAATTTTTTAATGGCACTATTCTTATTTTAGACTCGCTTTTCTTCTATGCAGCGAATCGAGGCTGCGATAGAGTGTGCAATTAGATGTCGGAAATATAATGCCTTAATTACGGAAACTTTCGAGCTGGCCCGTTCTCAGGCTAAATCGGCCATTGAAAAAGGCCTCACTCCTGTACCTGTCGTCATAAAAGATTGCTTCGCGTAAGTGGTATAAATACCTTGAATACATCGTTAAATAATGTTGTTTTTCAATTCGGAAAAAATTTACCTCATGCGTTGATTTCTTGGCATGCGATTATGTTAACCGTCGATTTCAAAGGGGAACTTTCACTCCACAAAACCTTTCAGTGGTGCATATTCTGTTAGTTTAGCAGTTTCTCTACCCCCTTTTTTATGGGCTAGATGCGATGCTCGCTCCGACGTCGATTCAAAAATGCCATTCACCCAACCATGTCCTTTATAGCCCAGGCTCATTATTAACTTCGCGAAGTTTATTCTACAGTCATAATAGTCCTCCTCTGGATCATTAAATCAAATTTTTAGCGTGGTTCTAGATTGTATTCCACAGCCCATAGCCTCAGAAGTTGATAGGAGACGATGCTTTCAAACGAATCAATGAATCGTTCATTATATCCATATTATCCTTTTATGTTCTTTCTCAGCTTCATTTCAGTTTTATTCGAATAATCTTTTTGAATTTTTTCTTGAAATAGGTTATGAAATGACGGTTTCAGACTTAAAAACCATCTTCGTTTTCCAGGGTCGCTGATTATCCTATGACATGTGCTTCTCAAATGCTGGAGAACTACATTCCACCGTATACAGCAACAGTGGTTTCAAAGACTAAAAGATTCAATAAGGTCAGTCTGACTTCCTTTTGATGGTCTTTTTTTGCGTCGAAGTTAACTTCATTAAAAGATTTCTTCTATTTGTAGTTGTATAGGAGGATGTGTTATCGGAAAAGCAAACATGGATGAGTTCTGTATGGGAACGTCTAGCGCTCTTGGTCACTTCGGACCTGTCAAAAGTGGTCTCACGGTTAGTGTTTTTATGTTTGGTTTATAAGCAATTGTCTTTCTTCCAAAAATTCATTATAGCGATTTAAGCTTTGTCACGTTGTTCATCAATTTAAGACACCCGTTTCTTTATTCTCGAAGGGGTAGCGGTGTCGTCGAGCACTTCCGTGGAATGCTAGGAAGGCTGTTTCATGCTAACCATGTCTATATCCTCCAATCAAATTTGATACTGAACTGAAACCAAGTAGTAAAGAAAAGCTCTAGACAGCTTGCATTGAAGTTCATAAATTGAGTAGCAAGAAGAATGCCAGGAATTAGTGCAGGGTACTATCATTGCTATACGAAGACTATGTGCTTCACTTCCTTAGTGTGAATCCACAGATTATGCGTAATTTTCAAGACCTTCCTTCTTTCTATTTGGTTGCTCACTGTTTCATCCACTTGCCCTTTTTCGTTGATTAGGGTCCATTTTGAGTGTTTTGTAACTAGTTTCTGAAATGTAATTCTGACCGTGCTGCTTACTAAATGGTTCTTGGGTTCCATCAAATGGTCGTGAGTGATGTTATTCAACTGAATAGTTCTTATCAAAAGTCTTTTCTGAAACTGCTTCATAAAATCTGCGCGAGTTCATATGATTATGAAGATTGTTAAGCTATAAAGTTGTTTTTTGAATCCTGTTTGTCACTTATGCCTTCCTGCATTTGCAGAACAGTGGCATTATTCTCTTTACTGCATCGTTTTCTCGCAATAAATGTCGCTATTTGAGGAAAACGTGGAGACCGATTGATAGTGCCTGGAGGTTCGTCTAGTGGCTCAGCAGTAGCTGTTCAGTTAGGAATGGCTGACATGTAAGTTTTGTTGAGTTTGCGTTTGGATTTTTTTTTTTATTTTGAAGACTTAAATCAACTGAGAATCAGCCCAAAAATGAGATTTTCTGTGCTTATCAGCTTTTTGGCCCTAATTATAGGCTGAGTAAAGTAAGAAAACCTTCAAGAGTTTAATCAATTTGTGGTTTCCTCAAAATTTTCATTTAAGGGGCCTTGGTTCGGATACCGGTGGTTCATCGAGAAATCCTGCTGCTTTCAATGGATTATTCGGTCTCAAACCAAGCTATGGAGTACTTTCTCGTCATGGCCTTGTTCCACTGGTAACATTCATTTTGAACCATATTTTTCTATTTCATTTATCTAGTTTTCTCAAGTTTCCAGTCTCGAGCATTTATAGGTGAACTCCATGGATGCTCCATCCATCATTTGCAAAACTGCCGAACAGTGCTGGACATTTCTTGGTATGTTGACCTTTAAAGACGAAGTTTACGAGAAAAGGCAGCTCATTAGAAATCATGGTAGAGGTGGTCAGTGGTTTAGAAAAAATATGAGAAATGGCCTCGAAACCCGAGAATCATGGCACTTTGACCCTTGATATCTACATTGGTGCGACTATCATCGGAGCTGCCCTCTTCATTCCTAACGCTCTCTCCCTCTCTCACGGCCAAAGGCCCTGGCGCAAGGGGCCCGTGGGCGTGCCGCGGCGATAGCGGCGCGAGGACGACCATGCTAGATCGTGGGGACGGTCTTTCTGCCCGTTGACATCTATTTAGTTGACGCCAATTTCGTGTCGGCTCACAATCTCAGGGGATCTGCCTGTCTTTCCTCTTGGTAAATTTCCCTTTCTTCGACCTCCGACCTTGTCGTGGAATCCCCCTTTAGGTCGTTAAATGTAAATTTGAAGATTTACTAATGTCCTCGACGTTGATCAGCTTCTTCATTTCCTTCTTCAGAAAGGATGACTGGCACTGACCAGCATGACTCTACTAGCGTTGAGTTGCCCTTGAAGAGTCGGATATCCAACGTTAAAGGCTTACGGATCGGAATACCAAAGGTACCTCTGGTTTTAACTACTTTACCTTCTCTTTTCTCGCCTGAAGTGCTGTCCCTTTATTTGCTTAATTCACGCTTTCTCCCATTTTTTCCATACTTTTTTTTATTCATTTATTCATTTGTGTCTGAACCAGCGTACCGGTTCCAGACATAAAAGAGATTTGAATAAATAAATTAAGAGAGCGGCATAAATGCAAGGAGGATCACTCCAGGAATAGAAAAAAAAACGAATAACAAAAAAGAGGAGGCAAAAATTGCAGTTAGCGGAAAATAGCTTCCGAAAGTATCCTTTCTCAGCAATGTGGAGAGGAGAAATGGTAGGAACTGATTGCTTTCTGGAGCCTACTTGTTCTTTGTACGGCCTGCCACTTATGAAATGCGCGGGGGGGGGGGATGGCGAAAAAGTCGTCTTGCTCATGACGCATATCAATAGGTTGGTTTAGAGACGAGGTAAATTTTCAGAAACTAATTTCTCACTGGAATGTTTTCCTAAGGCAGAAGCATACTTATGCCCATGGTTTTCACCGTCTCAAAATTATGGGGCCCTCTCTTTTTGATAAAGCTCAAGGGAGTTTATCGGAATTGCTTGACTGAATCACGCTTACGTATTTTTCTACAATGAGAATGAAAACAATGAGGTACGCCTAGTAGAAGTACTGGGACACAGACTTTAGAGACTCCTGCCACCGCCGACGAAAGCCACCAGCTTCGACGCGACTACAGCTACCTGCCGACTCTTGAAAAGTGGGCGAGCCTAGGGCTCGAATACTTTTGAGTAAGCGGGCCCCGATCTCTTGTTTGTGAGGTCTGTTGCTGAAGTGAACGCTGAATCGGTACTGCAATCAGGTCGTCGTGGAGCTGTTGGCGTTGGCCAGCCTCAGGGCTCCGGTAGACCCTGAGTGTTGGCAGGATCAAGCGTGACGTGCCAGTTTCAGCCATTCACGCACTGGCCCCCCCTCCCCCCACAATCTTCCATCCTCCAGTGGTCGATCGTGTCAATGGGTCGATAGTGTTATTGCACCTGTCCGCCCCCAAAGCTCTAAAAGTGCGTCAAGCGGGGGAAGCGGTACATATAAGTGTTGTTTCCGTTGATACATTGATAACTGACAAAACAACGGTTTTTTTTCCACAATTTTCAAATATTTTCCCGAATATCACCAAAATTCCGAACTTCACAGGAAAAGTAATCTACCTGTTGTCCTATGACTATACCTCGTTTCGTTCAGTTAAGGCCTCTCCTAAATCTCAGATTACGGCATAATCACATGAACGGTTGCTCGCCTGGTGATCGCTGCACAGTGTTCTGTAAACCTGAAAACTGAGACTGGAGAGCCGAAAGGCCTTTTCAACTGATCATCTAACCGTTGACCACTCTGATTCCTGAGCATGGGCAGACCTAAGAAGAACCGTATGTGAAGCTGGAAAGGTCAGTGATTTTGTAGGTCTCAGACGTGCATCGCGTTCACCCAGCAGAATATATTGTTGTTGTACTGGGCATTTGAGAGGCCATTATGAAAAGTGGTGATCGCTTGAAGTGTGACGTGACTAGTGAAGTGTAAATATTCGGTTCGATCAAATCGAAGCGTGGCTTATCCAGCGTTGAATGTGGACAAAGTGAATGATTTCTGCACCGGCTGTCTCTGTCCCTCTGATAACTCTTAACTTCAGCGGGAGCATTGAAGTAGTCTAAAATTTTTTAGACGTCTAAAGGAAAGGTTCTGCTATTATTTTTTTTCTTTTTTGTTGAACTGCTCTCAACATTTAGGAGTATTATAATGAGTTCCTATCGGATGAGGCATGGGAAGTTTGGAACCATGCAGCCAATGTGTTGCAACAGCAAGGTGCTACTATAGAAGAAGTTTCCTTGCCCCACACAAAATACTCTTTGCTGTGCTATCAAGTCCTTTCTGCAGCAGATATAGTTTCTAACATGGCTCGGTGAGTAAAAGCTACTCTGTTTTTCAAATGTTTGAACACCTTCATTCCTTTTGGAACTTGCTCATTCTTCTGTTGTCTCAGTGTACTAAGCACGTCTTTCGTCAGTGTACTAGTCATGTCACCGATGCACTGCTTGATGATTTCACTCTTTCGTTTTTACTTGACTGAATCGCAGAATTAGGGGCATAGTTTGGAAAGAGAAGTCTTGTAAGGAGCATAAATTCGTTAGTGAAACCATGACTCAGAGTGTATGGCAAAACTAGAATCTTCACCATACTCTTGAGTTCAGCTACGTTGGTATTGGCTTTGGCCATCGCTCTGACAATGAAACGTCGACTTTCAATTTATATGCGTCTACGCGAACTGAAGCGCTGAATAGTGTCGTCAAAGCAAGAATCATGGCTGGAAACTACTTCCTTATGCGAGAGTGAGTTTCGAAGTGATAACTACTTCATTTCCAAAAAGCTCTTGTTACATCTCTTTTTTTCAACATTTTTCGAATTCTCCGAGTTTCTCAAATCCCATTTTCCTTCGTAAACTTTCGATTTCCCCTAATGCGCTGTGTTTTGTAGATAATTACTAATCTTCTTTCGCTGCGTGAGTGCACTATATTTATTACCAACACCGTAAAAGAGAATTGAGAGTAGTATTGTTTCTTTTTCCACAAGTCACATTTCTTCGCCTCCTTTTTGTTTTTATTGAAGTGCTAATAATTTAGGCATCGAAAGGAATTCTACGATCACGCACTGAAAGTTCGCAAAGTTATTGCGTCAGAGATGTACGATGTTTTGAAAAGGGTAGATTTGCTGTTAACGCCTACCGCGACGGGAGCTGCTCCTCGTTTCTCGGATCACTACAAAGGTTTCTACAAGAGGGAGGATCACGATGATTTTTACACACAACCTGCTAATCTTGCTGGTTGGTCGCTATTTCCCAGTTATCAAGACATCATTAGCAAAAAAAGTTTTCTCAATGAGCCTAGCGTTTCTTACTGGTTAACAAGAGTGTGATCACATTCTAATTAGGATTTAGGATTAGGTACTCATGGGTTATTGACGCTATATCGATGCCTTCTGGACCGCCACTTTTACTTCGCCGATAGTTCCTCGCATGGAAACAAGGCTAACCAGTAGCTGATACAGCTAGAATACTGGCAGCTATCCTGAATTTCTATCAATCGAGTAGTTTCTGACGACTTACGTCTTATTAATAGAAATGTTTCCAGCGCTGGTAGCGAAATAGGCATAGGAAGATATCGTACTACGAATGGGTTCCTAGGGACTGTCAAATTCAGCCCAAATTCTCTCCATGTACTAGGAGAATTTCATCAATAAAGTTGTGTGATTCAAATGACCAAACTTGGCTGTGGCGTTTCGTTTTGAGCGCAGAAGCTATTTTCACTCACAACTTATCTCACATACACTGCGTTTCATAATTATAGGTCCACCCTAAATTTTTGCTACTCCAAAGTTGCTGTGCATTTTTTGGAAATGCTGCTATCACCATTAGATTCCTCGTCATGGAAAACCCTCACAGTGTTTTTCTGACAAAGTTCCTCCCTCAAGTAACCCAATTAACTTTTTCTGAACGAATTTTCACCGTTTCGTGAATATCGGGCTACTCATAAAAAGTTCCCATTTCTCGTGATCAGTGAAGGAAATAAGGGAAGCGGGGATATATCTGAGCTCAGTCGACATCGAGTTTACCGTACCTCGTGTTACTCGCCTCTCTTCCCAGTAACAAGCTCAAGCCAGAGCACTTACTGAAGTGGGATGGCAAAGGAGCAAAATTTCCTCCCAAGCCGGCCGGCTCCTACGACCTAAGCAACTAAGTGCGAAATCCTGGTCAGTGCGGGGAGAAGAGTAGCTTAGGTAAATGAAGACCGCGTTTCCTTCAAGATTTAGGAGGAACTGGGCGTTTTCTCTCGAATTGTGTAAGGGGTCCGAACAAAGTTCGTGCTGAAATACGGCCTTCCGTGAGCAAAACCACCGTGTGGTGTGTACGTCAGCGAAGCAATACATCTTCAGCGGATTGATGAAGAGCGTTCCAAGATTATTTGAGCGCTTCAAGATCGCACGTCTCCATTTCAGCGTGGAAAAGGGCGCAACTTTATGAACGAAGGTTTGGCTGTTCAGACCCTTCGCGATCTTGGACTCTAGCTCCTTGTTTCGTGCTACAGGTGATCTGAGATCGACGTGAAAAAGTTTATTCTAGGTGGATCTGATAGAAAAAAAGCGTACGGGAGGGTTCCGTGGAAATCGTAGATGGTTTTGTGTGTTGCAAGGGCCTTAATGATTGGAGGCTCTTCTTGAAACCGACGAACCGCCTACGAGGCTGTGTTCTTTCCCTTTCAGAGGATCCATTGGGAACGTGTTAAAATCTGAGCGGACTTTTTCGCTTCCTCGAACCTATGATTTTTACGCACGATAACGCGGCTGTCCATGCCGGTCCTTCCACGCCAGATGGAATTGTGGGAAAAAATATGGCAGTTACCTGGTGGCCAACATGTTAGCTGAATCAGATTCCAATAGAGAATCATAAGGCCTTAATTGCTATAAAGTTCCACAGCAGAGAAAAGCAAAATGGAACAACCGAAGAGCTGAAAACGTCGATCATCAGCGCACAGACAAATTTCGATCCTACTGTAATAGCTAATTTGATTACCAGCATTCCAAAACGTATTATTATTGTGTTCCTTATGACTATGGGAGGACCATCCCATTGTTGAAAATTTGTGACGTTTTTTTGCTATAATAAAATCTCTCGAAAAGTGATCTGTAGTCATATTCGCGAAACGGTGAAAATACGCTCTAAAAAAGATATTTTAATTATTCTTAATCAAGATTTCTCCAAAAATCGAGTATCAAGGTTTTTCCTTATGGGGAAACTATTGGTAATAGCGGCATTTCCCAAAAATGCGCAGCAACTTTGGAATAGCAAAAATTTAGGGTGGACCTATATTTATGAAACGCAGTGTATACGTATTGACGGCCTTCCCGTCAATTGGAACAGATTTTGGAAAATATTTGACCGTGGATGCTAGTATTTCTGGCCATTTCTGTCTCGTCGCCGCCGATGTGAAATTTATCCTGCATTTTTGGTTGGAGGCCTGACTTTCGCGGAATTTCGCAGGTCATCACCCCCCCCAAGTTAAGAAGATCATTTTCTATGATGCAGGTGTTTATATCGTACATTGTAACCTTCATACAAATTGGTGGAATGGTATGACCACCACAAGATTTTGGCGATAGTGTATGGCCTCCTGCAAGAGGTATCGTGATCCATGGAAGCACCACCCATGCCTAAAGCCATTCACAGGTCAATTAAAAGACTTTGTTCCAATAAATTAAAAATAGCCACTTAACATTGGCTGACATATGTACTGCACATGCGAGCTACGTATTCAATGCTTCTTCAATTTACACTGAAAGACAGTGGCAGCGACGCAACGCAACTGGCCTGATTATACCGAACACTTTTTTGTCCATTCTTTTCTTGTACAGCATTTTCTTTCCCTCTCCTCAGCACTATCATAAACCGAGCTCAGTAAATTTTGGATGCTAATTTCGAGCTAATACTGGAGTTCCTTTCTCCCGCTTTCTTTCTTAATGTGGAAGATCAACTCTAGCGATGCGTTTCGAACCGAAACACTTGAAGTGGCGGATAATTGTGGGCGCTAGCGACTCCATGGTGCATCCCTAAAAGATTCGATTGACGCCTGATGTTTTTTCCCTTATCCTTTTATTTACGAAAATAAATGTAGTAATGTAATTTTTTGTAGGACTGCCCGCTATCTCGGTTCCATGTGGATCCAGTGCGGACAACCTTCCGATTGGAGTTCAACTGATAGGCGATCTTTTGCAAGATAGACTTGTATGCGATGTTGCTCAGATATTGTATGACGCAGTGAAAGAGACTGAGAAGAACATGCAATAGGTTTCATTGTAGCGCGAGAAAGTACCTTGACGTTTAGAGGTCATTTCTCACCATGGAAAGAGTTTCTCTTGGTGAAATCTAGGCGACAAAAGTGAAAGGTATATATTTGTTATGTTATCAATTTTTTGTTACTGTTCGATATCAGTAAATGACGTTATATCGCTGTCGTGCTGAATGGATTTGTTTCTGCTTACTGCAGTTGAATATCAGCAAACTGTAATAATCATTTTGTAAATTTGTTCGTTTCTAGGAAATTAACACTCCATATTCGCCCGAGTTGTTTGCGCTTCAGTTTTTATTCGTCAAGCGTTGGTCACACTACGCCCAAATCGTTCAATGCCATCAGGTGTTTCCTCCTCATCAGGAGGGTTTTCGCCGTCATTGCTGGTGGCCGTCGCTGCGACTTGCGCTTATCTTTTCAGTCGTCTAGGGTGTGTGCGTGTGTGGTTCGGGTGTTCTCGAAGGCCATTTGTAGCCGCGTGCCGAGTGACATTGCTAAGTGACTGCACACACGTCTATCTCTTCGATTGTTCACAGTCGAAATTTGTACGCCAGGCAGGTTCCGACAAAGTTTCTCAGAGAAATTGATTTTCTTTTACAGTTCATTTTCCCTGGTGTGACGCCAGTAGTTTTTCATTTATTTTCCTCTTTTCTCCATTTTTTGCTTTCGCTATAGTTGTGTAATGCTGTTTTTCGTTGATCACATGGTTATTGATCTGGTTCGTGGCATTCATTTTTGCATATTTCGTTGCTTGAGAGACTCAATACGGAATTCGCTGTATGCGTCTTGTCCTATTTTTACCCAATTTTACGTTCGTATTCGAGTCACAACCGTCTCGTAACGAGTGCACCATCGTTTTCCTCCCCATCCCGTATATCTCGTACGGCGATCGCCCCGTAGGTTTCTCCGATTGAGTTTCTTTTTCACCCCTCGTTCTGCGCGTTGTATTCGAATAGTTTTTTGTTGATGGAGCGACCGCTTCGGCTCCTATGAAGTCGCGTTCTCATTTCGTCTTTTCATTCCGGTGATTCGGCCGCTCAACACGAAGGCTATGTTTCATCTGGTTTTCTTGTTATCTCCTATGGCGTTTGTCGGTGTCCACCGTTAAGGAAGTGATTGCCTACGTCAGTCGTCCCTTCATCGCAACTTACTTCTGCGGTGGTCGTGTGGTTCGTTACCCAAAAACGCAGCGTTAAGACTTCCTGGGCATTATTTATTGCTGTCGCGTCTTAAAACAATGCGATAGGTTATAGGGTGAAGGATGCTGCATGGTTCGCAAATTGCAAATTCGAGGGGAAAGAATTGGAGAATAGAGCTAAGGAAATATTGGAATATAGGATCATTACTAAAGTTTATATTTCCTCTGTCTAATTTTTTCTACTTCTTTTTTATACAGTATCCATGACATTTGAATCCCTTACAAGGAGGGTCTTTCAGGGCAAGCCGCGCTTTTTCAAAACGGTTTGTGCATATTGTAGGGACGCATGTAGGGAACACAAAACCATGTTTCATTTTCGCTGAACGGTTATAGCAGTACCAAAAAAGAAGCATAAGGTACTGTTAAGGGTTCGATCCCCCGTGGCGACTAAATTTTGCATTTGGGTTGGCGCCTACGGTTTGGTGCCAAATCGCGCTAAATATCAAAATCAGATGTCAATTCATCGTCAGGACCATTTTGAAGCCAACAAGTGGCCGCCAACCTTGATTGCAAAATTTAGTCGCCGCGGGGGATCGAACCATCAAGGGTATATTCACCACTTTTTTGGTACTACTAAAACCGTTCAGCGAAAACGAAACATGGTTTTGTGGTCCATACATGCGTCCCTACAATATGCAAAAACCGTTTCCAAAAAGCGCGGCTTGCCCTGAAAGACCTCCCTTGTTAGAAGTCGGAAAATCAGTTTCTGATGTGGCAATAATCGCATGGCGAGGAACATGACCCTATGCTCAATGGCTGTTGAATTTTAAAAGCGCATTGTAGAATCAATTCTTGCAAACCCTTATAAATCAATCAATCTAAATGCTAGAATTGGCAACAGTGAGAGCGTCAGAGCAATGTTGCATCTGTTTCATATGGAAATGGAAATGGCGTTACGGCAGTCCTATTTTTGTAGTTCTTTAACATACTTAGTCTTTGCTTCCTTTCTGCCTATACATTTGTCGTGAATTTTTTTTCTGAATAGTAGTTTTGGAATGTTTCGTTTTTTCGTCCATAATTAGTTCACTTGATGCGTATTGTAACGAGGCTGTTTTGTTAATTTCTCTATCTCTTTCTTCAAGATTACAGTGTAACAAGGTTTCAGCTGCCGCCGAACTGTACTTGTTGCTCCCGTGTTTGAGAGGTGGCACCATGACCTGAGTTTGTGGCATGCCCAAGATAACTACGATAAGTAATGTAAATTTTGAACCAGTGATATTTGAACTCGGAGCGGGCTCCACCCCTGGTTTCAGAGACGAGGGCTGTCGTCAAATTTCCATATGGCAAGCCCACTTCGCTCCAAAACATAAGGCTCACATGGCTGAGAATTCACTTTCTCAGCTTGTCAGTAGCTGAAAACCTCATCTTGAATGCGATGGCATCTGCGTGACTACTTTCAGCAAACCTACTGAAGAAAGATAGCCTCATCTCAACGGCCTTGGGAATGAAGTTCTGGTTCTCTGGCAAACATAAGGACCATTTGGTGTCTTTTAGTCGACGATATAATTGCAGAAAGGCTGCCTTCAAGTAATGAGGTTATCCTTCATTCACCTTTTAAGACTTCAAATGAGTTTACAGTGTATAGAAATGGGTTTTTACGGAAAACAACCAGATTTTTTCGATCTTTACAATTTTGAAACCTTGCAAATGTTATTTTTTTAGTCTCACCTTTTTCTTCATGTTTCCTTTTCTCGATGTCTAATGAAAGCTTTGTTCTAATAAAATGGGTTCTCCTTAGTAAGTTCATTCATGGTAGTCTTCGATTTATAAGTGATGACGATTAGTCACTGGGCGGTCGGCCAGTTTTACTGGCAGTACATTCAGTAACATTATGTTCATAGAAGTGTTGAGTGAAAGCAATTCGCAGCTATTCGTTTGGTTTATCAGCGACCGATTGCTGGGAAGTCATAAAGCGACGGTGCCGCGCGAACTTGGTTGTAATAATGTAAGCACTTGGCTGGCCGCGAGAGCGCCTCGTCTATTCCCGACATGGGGGACAATATGACATTTATTTTATTGGGTCTTTGCCACTTCGAGTTAAAAACGCCGAAGAAGTTGGCTTTCATGGTTTCGTACTGACTGACTTGATTGACTGATAATCGATAGTGAAAATTCTTGCAAGCAGCTGGCAATTGAATTCGTAAGACAATTGGCCTCCTAGAACCTCTCTCAGCTCTCGTTCTTTACAATTTCACCGCGACTCATGGTGTTGTGATTGATTGCGTATCCGCCGCCTCCCAAGCGTTCTTTCGGATAAATCCATTAACTGCTTCTCAACTGTAATACGTAACCTTACTTTGGTTTTTCAGTTATTTCTTCCTAACGTTCCTCCACTACTTGGCTTCGAATCTTCGTTCTTGAACTTGTATCTACTGCGCTATTCATTAAATCGTTCTTTAGAGTATCACATGGTCTGAAATTTAAATCTGTCATTCCAGGTAGCAGCTGATATGCAAATTTCGTGATCGTTGAGCTGGGCAATTCCATCTTTCTGCAGATTTATTTATTATTCTATCACAATTGCAACAATAATGTCAAACTTTTCGCCCTACGCGAATGTAAAATGCGAAGCGCAGCCATCAACCAGCACTGCCAATGAGACGCCATTGCCAGTAAGTTAATCATCTTCTTCGCATCGCGGTAGAATAAGTGTAAAGTAATTAGTGATGATTCCCGGTATGCGCCACGCATTTGATTTCTTTCAAAATTTTCTTGCGCATAGCTGTATTTGGCAGGCTTCTAGTCAAGTTAATCAGTAACTAAGTAACCATAGAGTGGGAGAGCTTGCTTATTCTACATGCTCCGAGGTTTTCATGTGCCATGCTACTTTACGACGTTTGTACCAAGTGAACCAGCTTCATTCAAAATAGTGTTATGATCAAGTCGAGGACACTGTGTTTTCTGATACTGGTTTACTTGGAGCGCTACGGCTCCTTTTATTTTGGGTCTTTATATTCTAGGAGTGATGTGGGGTCTAACTCTGCTGGAGTTAACTGTTCGCCCGATTCCATGTCTTTTTGCATTTTTCACGGGTGCAAATATCTTGGGATTACCAGGAAGCAACAGAGTTACACTGAGTCATGTGCTTGTTTGAACTTTTTGTGAGTGAGCACAAGTGAAGAATCCTTTGCTGACTCGTTTTGAAACTGCAGGATTTTTCGGGCTTTTTGACTTCACGTAGATTCAGGCAGCTTAGCTTTTTTGGAGCTTTTTGATTGTCAAATACAGCATTGTCTTTTCCAGCTGAGCTCGCCATGCCATCCATCACCAGCGTTAGCTCGTTCAGTACCGTCATCTCAAGAAGCAACGTCGCCGTCGGAAACTGCTGGCAAAGATTTTGTGTTTTTTACGTGCGTCACATGTCGTCATCAGTGCAGTGAGGAGGAGGAGGAGTCTCCTCCTCCTGCCTGCCTGCCTGCTCACATTCATCATAGCTCTATTCAGGCCATTGTTTTTTTTTGCAGGACGGAGTTGGCCAACCAGGCTGCACTGGATTTCGAAAAAGAACGCTTTGACAGCCTCCTGGAATGGCATATAAAGTATCGTAAACGTAAGGAAGCCGAGCGAAGCGCTGATGATGTCGTGTCGGAGAAGGCGTCCAGCTCGGCCTCAGCAGAATCTACGCCTGTTGAGACGTCGGAGAGGAAGCCCGAGAAGAGAAAAGCCGAGGTATGGCTGTCGTATGTGTTTTTGTTTCAGTGTAAAGCTACTATTTTAAAGTATCATAATATTTTTTCTCCCAATACTTGGATGATAAAAAAGAATGCTCCGTACTGTAAGCAACACAAAACGGCTGGCCGTAAGCTTGCCACTCTTTGGGCGGTTGCCCAACACATGAGTCGCCTATCCTTTTTTCAAACAAAACAACGACTCGGGTAGCTTGTTCGAGTGGAGAATTTCAGAGTGATCCCGAGGATCAAGTGGCCAAAAAACCTACTTACATGGACTTGAATGCTCCAGATGTCTCTGCGAAAAAGGTTGAGGAGACACCGTTGAGGTTGGTTGGCTTCTTGATATGTAAACACTTCATAGGTCACCATGGAATTCATGAAAATTTCTCAAGGAGAATGGAAATGATGACGAACTCGTCAGCCTTCAGCACTTCGTCAAGTATTAACGATGTTGTGGAGGCGCCTGCGAATGGACTTTGTAAGAAGTGAGTGATTTTGCTTTGAGTTATGTGGTGGTTCATCTTTGTAAGCTTCTTTTTTATCATCGAAATTCGCATTTGC